ATGCACTGAGGCGATGCGTTCGCTGGCATCCGGGCCGCCTGCCCTTTTGCTCAGACGGTGAGCACCTAGCGACCAACCAATTTTTGGTCGGCGCATGTATCGGCAGTGTTGCGTTTCCGGCATTCTGATGGTTGGAATAGATGCTTACGTGCATGCGTGCGTATTCATGGAGTTGCAGAGCGTTACATAGTTCGTGCTTGTCTTGCTTGAACAGTGCTTGCTTTGGTCGTCTTCTGGGGCACTGTGTCTCCGTGCTTGCGATATGAGTTTGGGAGACGGAATAACGTATTACATATGAGTGCAGCGAATATATAGATAAGTACGGATGCAGCGCAATACGCGGCGGGAGGCAGCAGCAACTATTCGTTGACTTGCGTTACAACGCCAGGCCCTATTGGCGAGCGATTCGGTTGGGCGTGCTGATAATCGCTTTGCCGGGAAACGATATGGCGGCGAGCGTTGCTGTGTGGACATCAGCTGCACCGGCCTACGGGAGCACGTTCTACACTTGGCTGCGAGCTGGGGACCACCGACATCTGCGGAATCGTGGGTTTATGCAGTGCGCCTGCACTCGTCTATTGGTGCACTGAGGCGATGCGTTCGCTGGCATCCGGGCCGCCTGCCCTTTTGCTCAGAAGGTGAGCACTTGGCGACCAACTAATTTTTGGTCGGCGCATGCATCGGCGGTGTTGTGTTTCCGGCATTCTGATGGTTGGAATAGATGCTTACGTGCATGCGTGCATATTCATGGAATTGCAGTGCGTTCAATAGTTCGTGCTTGTCTTGCTTGAACAGTGCTTGCTTTGGTTGTCTTCTGGGGCACTGTGTCTCCGTGCTTGCAATATGAGTTTGGGAGACGGAATCACGTATTACAAATGACTGCAGCGAATATTTAGCTAAGTACGCATGCAGCGCAATACGCGGCGGGAGGCAGCAGCCACTACCCGTTGACTTGCGTTACAACGCCAGGCCCTATTGGCGAGCGATTCGGTTGTGCTTGCTGATAATCGCTTTGCGGAGAAAATTTATGGCGGCGAGCGTTGCTGTGTGGACATCAGCTGCATCGGCCGACAGGAGCAAATTCTGGACTTGGCTGCGAGCTGGGGACCACCGACATCTGCGGA